ACGGGACTTGCTATGCGTCCGCATTTTTTGCCCGTTATATATCATTGTTCCATTGTAATAGCTTAGAAGGGCACTTAAACGATTCCCTGTCAACTGTTATAATAGTAATCAACAATATCGGATCGCACCCGCTTCAAGATCAAATTTTCAGCAGATGTGTGAGAATGGTAAATATTTCCGGGTTCTACTGTTGAATAGAGAATTTAGATGGTTCTCCAAAGGCAACTGTGTTCGCTGCTTTGTTACACTTTAGGATATCAACATCACATTCCTTTCTGGAAGAGAGTATGGAAGAAAACTGCTAACAGCTAAGCCAGACGTGTTTTATATGGCCGATGCTTTTGAAAAACGCAACATATTAACTAAAACTCCTTAAGGCAAGTTCAGTAATCTCCGCTCAAGTAAAGAAGCCTTTATCGCTTTTCTTAAAAAAAACTGGTTAAAACATCGGATGTCGGGAATTTTCACAGTTCCCAATTCTCGTCACAGATAAGGAGAAGCTGAAGGATACAAAGTTGAGTGTCAATGCGTTATTTACAACAAATGCGAACAGAAATAAAAGACAGGTTTCATGAGCAGGAAATCCCGATTTGGATTTTAGGTCAATTTGATGTACAGCCCTGTGATATTGGATTTAATATCCAGGAGAGCCTCAGAGAGCTTCAAAGTGACACATTAGCAAGATCTAAATTCACGTAATAGAAAATGGATTTTTGGATACAGACTGATGCCCCTAACATATATCCCAGATTGCGGGAGATAGCTGGAATATATTTTCTTGCTTTCCCATCCACATACTCGGTTGAATGTGGATTCAGTAGTGTGGTTTCCATAACAAAATGTATAAACAAATTGGACATCACAGCGAGGGGAGATGTCGGACTCACGATGTCAAGTATGGAGTTGAACATAAGCAGGTTTGCTCAAGGAAATCAGGATCAATGCCCGTATTAATATCTCGATAAACATACTGTTAAGAAGTTACTACACCTAATGCATAGCATGCGTTACGGTTACAAACTATATATACTATATTAAAATTAAAAAATTAAAAATAAATTAAAAATAAATATTAACGATGAGTATGGGGCAATTACAGACAAGTGTCTTGATGTTGCGGCACAATGAATGTTGAGGCTGTAAAAACTAAAAGAATGAGGTTTATAAGGGAAAGATTACTGATACCAATGTTAAAAATTTAGCCAGCATAGCAAAATATACCAATACAACCACTGGAGCTCACAGATTTAGATCGGTTTAGTGTTGCGGATTGCTGAAATTGTGCGGATCAATGGTGGGGGGTAATGAGAAATAAAAAGGTTTAAAATGGGGCTACGACTGAATAATGGTTGGGAATGCCTGAGCTAGATAAAGGAACCAACTACATCATTAGTCTCGGTTGTAAAATTGTGAGTGGTATCTTGCTTAGTAGTTACAGTAAAAGAGGCTTGCACAATGTAAGAGAAATGATAGAAGGAATGATAGCCGACAAGTTTCGTCACTAAGACCATAATTTAATAGGGTGAATCGCAAAATAGCGGAGTAAGCAGTAGAGCAAAGCAACTCGCTAGGATCAAAAGTGAATAGGGAGAGAATGTGTGAAGACACGACCAATCGGGAGGTAAGTACGGAGGAAACATGGATTCGATACATGAACTCACCAGGTTTTTGGAAGCCGTATATCTCCCATGGGATCAGGTGGATAATGTTTAACTCGAAAAGAGACGACCAGTGGCTTCGTATCTAGAAATGGAGGCGAAAAACGAAAACAGTGAGTTAATGCATTTTGTTGGAACCATTACTTCGGGTATCAGAAAAATAAAAAAGTAGTATATCATAATCGAAAGTAAAAAGACGTAGTTGTTAGACAAAGATAAAGAAAGTAATAAGTGGGGTGCGGGTTTCTTTGTTTTCGCTCGTTGGTGTACACCGCCGTACTGGCTACAGTGATCGATCAATGGACAGACTTGGTCTGTTTACCAAGCCCCAACAAAGTGATGCTTTACAGTCAAAAAGTGAGGGGACGTGAGAAAGCCTCGGAACACGGACCAAAACGATATTCGTCTATTGGCTCAGATATGCGTGACATGAGGCAATAAAACCAAGATAACCTCTACAGTGGTAGATAGAGAGAAAAACCGACCGACAATGGTGGCAAAGTAAACAGTACAAGTATGTGATTGTTCAAACAAGTGATTTGAAAAATTAAGAAATAACTGGTAATCATTTCGACCCGAAAATTGTCCACTAGACACTTACAGTTGGGGTAATGGTCACTAGAAAGCTGAAGTGGCCAAAATTGTTGCCCTAAAGCCGCCAGTTAGATCTCAGTGGACGTATGCCATCTATGTGGTTCGGCATTTTGCGTGTGTTGCATCAGTCGAGGCATCGAGTGACAAAACCAACAGAAAGAGGAAATCAGCACCGAGCGGTTGGACCAGCGTGCCTTAAATGGGTAAGTGATATATCCTCGAATCACCCCCCAACATTAATAACGGCGCTTTTGTGCCAACAATGTTCGACTTTTGACTAGATGAAACAAACAGCTCAGCATAACGTAGGTAAACGTCAAGCAAGTGGCGGAGGCTTGTATATGGAGATGCTCACACTTAATGTGTAGTCCGTTGATCGAGTACATATCCAACTGCAGGGGGGGGGGCACTGCCATGCAGATTCATGCAATCAATATGCGGATATAGTAACTACGGAAATATAAAACGCAACCAAACGTCAAATTTGTCTAAATGTGATATGAATTACAGCTTTCTTGTTCATCATTGCATTAAGAATGTTAGCACCGCTAAAGAGACAATAGTGATCAGGATAACTAAGTGTCACAAGCCAAGAATACAACGGCAATAGGACAATCAGAAAAAAGATACAACAGTCCATTGTCACGTAGAGGACTAAGCGGGGTAAATCTATCACCTCTAAATGACAGAGATAGAATGTGAATAGAGGGGATGTAGATTAACTCGAAAAGATAAAACGGCCGTCCACTAACTTTTTGGATGGCTGTGACAGCCTGATCGGGTCGACTGAATCAGTGAACTTACCGGCTACGATTCTACGTATGCTTAGTTAACCATCAACTGTGAATAGCAAGGATGCAGAAAAAGCGGGACTAAAAGTGGTCATTTTGGTTGTCGTGGAAAAAGTGCCCTTAGTTCAGAAGGGGATAAGGTGTTCAAAAATGGGAGGTTGTTTTGCTTTTTGCAACGTTTTTAATACCAATATGAAATAGCAGCTTCGCCAATGCCAACTATTAAGGTGGCAACTGTTTAAAGCGAAAGACAATTGGCACAAGGTATGAGACGTATTATCATCAAAGTTGAGCGATCTGTTTAGACAATACCAACAAAAACGGTGATAATGGATAAGTAGAATGAGGGCAACAACAGGAATACCGAATAGTTAAAACCTAGCCAACGAACGTAAATGCCGGACAATAAAAAAGCAGCCAATCAAAACCGCGAGTGTTATGTTGTAACGAAAGTAACACAATGAACTGAGATGAGCAACAAGTGGCCAGAAGGAAAACAATAAAGGTTTTTCGACCCGAAGAAAGCGAGTCAAAGGAGAATAACAGCTAAAAAGTGAACAGATGGTTATCAGCGTCAGCTATGGAGGAGCGAATCACGTAGACAAAGTGCCGATCCGCACGGAAAATGTTCCACTTAATTTTAGTTTGAAGAACTAAGCGAGCTCAGGCGCGGTAACCGATGACCATGTTTGTATGCGTGGAATGGAGCTCAAATATGCCACGTAAATGAGAAGTATGGCGGCAGGTAGATGGTCCGGAAGCACAGTGCCGCACCAACTAGCACTGTGTCGTAAAGCGATTGTTTGTCTGTGCAGAGTCACCGTAGTGATGGGAAAGTCAGTCATGAGAATGCAAAATGCTCAACTGTGGGAATCCTACGTATGCGCCTAGCGGACACTGCGTAAAATCCGGTTCCGGTATCACTATGGACAAAATTGGAAACTAGCAAATGGATACGACATTACAAGTAAGCATGGGGTCGCGCCAGTTAGATCAACTAAATGAGGTAAGTAGTGTTTGCGATTCGGAAGGACCCCATATAGGTTAGTGTTACCTAAAAGCATCCGGACAAGAAGTAGGTAAGTGAATGATCGTTGGCGGAATGTGGCACGTGTGCGATGCTTATCAGGTTGGGCATCGTCTAGTGGCACCCAAACGGTTTCCGAGCACAGCGTCTCGAGGCTATCAGCAACAATGAAGTTGCGGTAAGTGTGCAGGTTGTACCGTGAGCGCGGAAACAATCAGTAAGGTCGGATATTTTATTGCAATAGACCACTTATGTTCAAGTGAACGCACTGTGCATGCACACCGAACAGTGACTGTAAACTGAGTGAATGCGAGCAGCAGCTGTTGAGTGGAATAGAGATGAACACATGGTTTTAGCAACGGTCAAAACACGAATTCGAGGTAGATCTTTGTGTTAGGCATCAAGCGTCAACAGTACTACAGCAACTGCCGCATGCAGTAATTTGATGGCCAGAATAGGGAGAAGATATTCATCCGCCCTGTCGCGTAATCAGCGTACCATGAATGAATGAGAGATGAGCTGACGAATAGCCCATAAACAACAGTTGCCCGGGTACCGGAGCCAACTCGTCCGGTATGATGAGTGCCAAACCCGGATGGGGGTACAAAAATAAAGTGAACATGCTAGCCTACTTAAAGTGACGTCAGTAGTTAGTAATAAAACGAAAGTAGTGAGTAAGAAACAGCAAGTGACCGGTAACATTTATCTCCGATTACTTGGCATGTGGACGAGTACTGCGTCAAAAATGCATGGAAACAACCTACAAAAAAAACCTTAACTAAATGCGAGGAGCCTTTAAAAACAATATTGCCGGTTTCTCATTTAAAAACGCACAAGCACGAAGGAGGAAGTGCGCTTAAGCCTTAGGCTAAGCAGATTGTGGGCAAAAACATCTATGAGACCGCTGATATGAATAGATCCAACAATGACATTTTTGTGCTATCAAGGAAAATGAACGGAACTTACTCTTTAGCTGGGATAGAACACGCCTTGTGAGATCAATCCATTGCTGAAAAAGCCAGAAATATGCTGAAGTGAATAAATATACGCTATGCCCAAAAGTAAGTTGATCAGAATAAGTTTCCGTTACTCGGTTGATAGTGTGGTCTTTTTACCTGTCAACATTTACCATTTCATCTGCTAACATAGGAGTTACCAGAGTACGGCCCGCGGACTGTATCCGAAGTTGCTTGATAAAGCGTATGCACTACGAGACGCTGTGATACAAATAATATTTGATAATGCATGTCGTCGTGTCAGTGATTGCACTGTTTAAGCACGCGGTGGGTCTCGCTATGGGCAGGCGTAACGCTGACAAACAACACATGATGTGGTAGCCCGTCATCAAATACCGGTGGAGGATAAAATAGAAAATGTATGTCAAATAAGTAGGGTGTACACGGAAGCTGCGCGTGATGAACTTGAGCATTACTTAGCCAGTGCTCCCCGCAGATGTGTTATGCATCCCACGAATATCGGTGATCAAGCACAGACAATCTCTTAGTGAGTTGATCGCACAGTGACCATGTTTTTGATCAATGTTGTGACGCTGGTCAGATTACAGTATTGCACACCACATATGTGGCCAGTAGGTCTAAGTACTGCCAGTTCCACACGTCGCCAAAGGTGAGTGAACCCCAAAGTGTGGGCCATGATCATTTCAGTGAATTTGCCGCCATAAGTGAAAAAGATCCGCAAATAAGTGAAACGATCGACCACTATCAATGGCAGTACCTTACGCTGTGAAAATACGAAGCACAAGAATGCCACTCTAAAGCTTCTATTAAGCTCTCACTCATCACATTCGGTTGCCGTAAAGAGGAGCTATTGGTCATTATTACATTAAAATCCGCTTAGGTTTAACTTGCTGTCCACTTTGGGACTACTACACTACGCGTCGCAGTGGATGAACAGATTAGCGGTTTAAAGCTTCGTTCTTAACCCAAATGTGTCAATAGGTGAATCGGCTCACTATCTGCGTCTGAACGTGTGACCCTACCTGAATGAAAAGACTGGTCTTGACGCGAGTGCTCCTGAGGCGCCAGATGACCAGCCATCTCTAGTGACGGGAAGGTGCAGAAACTAGGTCGTATACCAAAGCGGTGAACGAAATTTTGAAAATGATATGAAATCCAAGATGCCCGACAGACTGTGGTTCATCAAGATTTCGTTCGTGAGTAACATAGACCGCCTCCAAAAGAGAAGCCACCAGATGGCTTTTCCACTCCAAGTTGATCATACAATAACGATTGGTATAGATATTAATATGAGCCCATTTCGCTGCGACGCGGAAAGCTCCGACACCTAAAACATAGAGGCGCAATAAATCAACTGAGGAAAACCATGCCCAGATGCGCCACCGAGTGGGTTTACTAACTTCAAAGTTCAAACTTCAAAGTTATCTTATCCAGCTTAATATCTAATCGTCGTCGATCGACAGCTCTGTCTGTTCTCAGAGTACCAAAGCCGATAACTGCATTATTGCAAATTAGGGCGAGTCTTAAAGTCGAAAATGTTACCGCCTCGATCAACGCAGAAGTAGTCGGCAGGATGGGTCGCCCTAACAACACAGTGGTTTGTAATGTCCCAGATAATATTCCACCTGCTGCCTTACGCGATATCCTGCTTAAGGTTGAAAATATTGTTGGGACAGCGTGTAGTTGCGTAAGGCTTAATAAGAAAATTCAATCCTATTTAAATTTCCTGGTGTATTTAGACTAAATAAGTTCATAAACGTGTGTGATCAGTGTTGCCAACACTACGACGAAAGCCACGAAAATAATTATTAATAGAAAAACGTTACAAAGAGCAAAGTTGCACACTGTTTGAATCTTGTCTACGGTGCGACCCACTACTCTCCAGTGTTTCGGCCTCCAGATGCACAACTGACAACCCCTACTGCAGGGTTGTCTGTAAACGAAGTGTCCCCTAGCCAAACCAAAAGTGAAATAAATCTCCCTTACTAACAATGATAATGGGGGCGTAGTAAATATCCTAGAACATCCGAATTTTAAAAATAAGCGTAGCAGACGCCATGCACCTGAAGAATCACAAGCAGGGAAAGGTTATGTAGAGCAATTGCTGAACACCAAAAATTATGATGTGGAACTGCGCATGCCCACCAAAATACCCCCCACACACATGGATTTTCACAACAACAAAGGATCCGAAAAAAATACGCAGAGTACAAATAGGTCATAAACAAGCGCCATAACCCGAAGCCCAGCATTTCACTTCGTCTGAATGTAGGTTCCACTGAACTTACCCTCATCAACAGAATTATCTATCAGTTAATGTGCAAACATAAAACCCCGGAAGAAAAAAACCGCGTGCAAAAAACCAAAAAAGCGCTTTCTTCTCATGTCGCATGTCGTTTGCCCTCTATTCCGTCGCCATTGTTCGGTAGGCGCATTGTATGTAATCAGGCAGTATATATATATATATATATATATATATATATATATATATATATATATATATATATATATATATATGGTGCGCTGAGGCTGGTGGTGGTTATATCCTGACAGATGGTCTACCCACTGCTTCTACTGCTGTGCCATTGGCCCAGGTCCTGGACGCCACCTCGTGGCGATCGCTGGATGGGAGTTGGGTGTCGCCCTTCTCCCTGCTAAGATTCAGGACACCAATCCACATGAGTCAGTGAACTGACCATGTGCTAGACCCGCTGCCTTTCGAATGTACATTTAAATGAAGACGAGCTGAGGAACCGAATCGTTCAGTCAGGTGTGGGTGCCCTGCCAGTATCCTAGTCCATGCTCTGCTGAGGTTAGGAAGTGGCCGATGGCCCTCTTCCCGTAAAATCTAGCCACGGCAGACAACAGGTCTAAGGGTTATAAGCCCATAGCTCGATTGTCCTACAGCACGAGCGCCACGCATTGTCCCTGGCGGTTGGAGAGCACCTCGGTGTGCTCAATGGTTTGCTACTACCTACCTCAAGCGAGGCAGCTCCAGATCAAATTGGCGCAAACCCACCAACACCACCTTGCGTCTGGCCGTGGTCGCAGGTGCGTATCCTACTACGGTTGCAAAACATATATAAATCGTTCCAGTACCTCAAAGGCTGCGTGTGACAGCCGTCAAGCAGATCCAAACCTGTCTTTGCAATCACATTACCGAGCTGGATCTGCTCCCAACTGCCTTGTGGATCAGGCTATTAAGCCAAAGGCTACGGGTGGAGTCCCTCAAGCAAACTTCCGAAGCACAACCGCTACCTTGCGTGCGATTGCCCGCCAATGAAATCGTATACCTGTGCGCAAAGAGCTCAGCACCGGGTGCTGGAACGTGCGCACACTACTAGACCGGAACTCCAGTGAGCGCCCCCGGCGACGCACTGCACTGGTCGCAATGCAACTGGCACGCTACAACATTGATATTGCGGCGATCAGTGAAACTCGGCTCGCCACTTTTATAACCACATACGGTCCGACCATATGCTATCCTGATGACACGCGTGATCAATTCTGAGCTATCCTCCGTGATACGGTCTGTGCCGAGGAGCAACCGACTATTTCTGCTGCGTGATTTCAACGCGCGCGTTGGGCATGATGCATCGGTGTGGAGAGATGTCATCGACTCGCAGGGCATTGCTTCTGCGAATGCGAACGGTGACAGACTACTCTCACTGTGTGCCACTCACGGCCTGACGAGCACGAACACTCGGTTTGCACTGAGTGCGAGTGATATAGCAACTTGGACGCACCCACGGAGTGGTCACGCTCACCTGCTCGCTATGTCATCTTACGTCAGCGTAATATGCGTGAAGTGCGCATGACACGTGTACTGCGTGGAGCTGAGTGTGGCACTGATCACAAGTTGGTGCGGACCAAACTGTACATATATTTTCGTAAATCTATCTATTGCAGTCCCGCTGTGAAACGGCGTAAATTTAACATTCTTCCTCTCCGTACTGTAGAGAAACGTATTGAGCTAGAGGTGATGGCTGTACGCCTGTGTGATGTGGAATGTATAGCCACGGTGGGCGACCTGCGGCACCACCTTCGCGACCAGCTGATAGCCACTGCCGAGGAGTTCATCGGGCGTGCAAACTTTAAGCGGCCTGATTGGTTTGATGGGAACAATGCGACGATTGGCGCATTAGCGTCGGAGAAGAATGCAGCATTTGCTGCAAATGTGGCAGACCCCAGAAACTTGGGGAAAAAGAGAAAGTTTGGCAGAATTCGACAAGGACTGACCCGTGAGCTCCGTCGCATTAAAAAGGCATGGTGGACGGAGAAGGAAAATCAGATGGAATGTTATGCCGAACGCCGCGAATACAGGTAATTTTTTGACTCCTTGAAAGCGGTGTATGGACCCAAGTTGAAGTCGCCGAGGACGCTAATGGATGGTAGTTCTGGCGCTGCCTGCATACGGACTACAGATATAATGCAGATCTGGCAAAAACATTTTGATCTTATCTTGAACAACCGTTCAGAGATCGACTGGTCTATATTCAATGACCTGAATCAGCACGAGGTGAAAGCGAGCCTGATAGACACGCCGACACTGGATGAGACGCAGAGAGCACCTGCTCGGCTGCGAAACGGTAAGTGTGCCGGTGCCGACCGGATCTCCCCTGAAATGTTGAAAACCAGCGGACCTGCGTTGGTGACTGCGCTGCATCACTTAGTGCACCGAGTGTGAATTGAGGAGGAGGTGCCTTCTGAGCTGAAGGATGCCCTTGTGCTACCACTGTACAAGGGCAAATGAAGCAAGCAATGTTGCACGAATTGTCGTGGCATCAACTTGCTGAGTTGTGTGGGCAAGGTGATTGCCCGAATCCTGTTCAACCGCCTCGTCAGTCAGGTTGTGGAACCTAACGTGGCGAAAGAGCAGTGTGGATTCCGTTCGGGTCGCAGCACTATAGATATGGTGTTTGCGGCTCGTCAGTTGCAAGAGAAGTGTAGAGAACGACACCAGTCATTGTACTCGCTTTTTGTTGATTTCACCAAGCCATTTGATATGGTGAACCGCGAGGCATTGTGGCTGGTGTTGGGTAAGTTTGGTTGCCCGCGTAAGTTTGTAAGTTTAATTGAATGTCTGCACAGTGGTATGCGAGCCAGGGTGCAGCTGAGTGGAGATATCTCGGATGACTTTGCAGTTGTCTCTGGTGTGAAGCAAGGCTGTGTCTTAGCTCCTGCCCTGTTTAATATATATCTTGATGTCATGATGTCTTGTGCTTTTGATGCCGCTCGAGTTTACGGTGTTCATGTGGAGCACCGTATTGATGGTGGGTTGCTGAGTACCCGTCGTTTCAGTGCGAAAACCCTAGTCTGTGAGGCAACTATCTGTATGTTGTTGTTTGCTGACGACTGTGTGTTGTTTGCACACAGTGCAGATGAGTTGCAGCATATGACTAGTGCTCTGGCTTCGACAGCGGCCAAATTCGGGCTCACTATCAACACAGGAAAAGCAGTCTGTCTCTTTCAGCCTTCACCGGAGGTGCAATCTTCAATATTGCCGCGAATCAGCATTGGTGATGACGTATTGGAAACCACCTCCCGCTTCTGCTATCTTGGGAGTGTGATGTTGGCTGACTAGCAACTACACAGTGAGCTTTGTATCTGCGTCTCGAAGGCAGCGGCAGCATTCGGGAAGCTAGAGTACCGAGTGGGGAACAACCATCAGCTCATCGTTAGAACGATGGTGATGGTGTACAAATCCATGGTGCTGTCCGTTCTTCCATACGGCAATGAAATGTGGACGATGTACTGGCGGGATGTGCGACATCTCAAGCGGTTCCAGCAGCAGTGTCTGCGACGAATTTTGCGCATCGGTTGGGGTGCCAGAGTTGCTGACACGGAAGTGTTGCGCCGAACTGGAACGCATGCAGTTGACAGCATACTTTTGCTGAGCCACCTGAGGTGGCTCGGTCATGTGTGAAGTATGGATTCGACGCGGATACCGTAGCAGCTATTAAACAGTCTGCTGAGTTTGGGGAAGCGACATGTGGGGAAATCAAAATTACGTTACCAGGACATGATCAAAGTGAGCCTCTCACGTTTTAATCTTGATTGCAGGCAGGTCATGGGGATCTAAGGCGGTTGATCGCGTGTATGGCGCGATCTCATCACGAAGGCACTTGCCGAGGTGCAGGAGAAAGCCCTCATGCATGCGGAGAAGAAGCGGCAAGTTCGGAAGTGGCAAGCGCCGATGGGTTGTACTCCATCAACATCGAGCGCATAGTGGTGTAGCACATGCGGTCGCGAGTGCCCGACGCAGGCAGGTCTAGTGAGCCATGAGCGAGGCCAATCGGGGCCACCACCGAAACGACGACGGGTCCCGCAGAGAAGGTAAGGCAGAACCGCCGCAGCGTTTGTAGGTACGCTGCACTCGATTTACTAACTGAGTGCTCGCATGCTGAGTCTTTGTTTCAGGTGGTGGGTTTGCTATATTGTCCTAATGCTTTTTTTTAATCTCATATTAATGTCTGCCTGAACTATCTTCTATAGACTTGCACACGTCGCTTAAGATAATGGTAGTTAACTTTGACAACATATTCGCGTTCGTGGCATTTTTTATAAATATCTTTTCTGACGCCCTGAGCTTATCGCGTATTTGTTGGCAACCAATTTATTTCGTATGCTCATTCATTGAAGAGTTATGTCACAATATCTGTGTGCATTATGCGATTTATTTTATGTGATCTCGTCGTCACAAGTGATTGGCTGTTGCTTGATATCCCCGGTGTGGCTGCGCTTGATGTGCATGTTGACAAGGTGCCTGCCTGTCTATTACCCACTACCTCGTCCATACTGGCTCCAGGAGACAGTTGGTCGTTGCTGGAGGGGACAGGGTGCACGGTCCTTGTGGCCGTGCTACGCTCGAAGAGTGGTTCCATGCACTCCGTGTGGAGTGGACTATGGTCCAACCACAGCCTTGTGTGCGCTTAATTCCCAAACACAACGTGCTTCTTACTTGAAGGATGTTTGTGAGTAGCGTAAGGTTGGTAGAAAGTAGAAGTCCCGATTAAACTCCACATAATAATCTGCCTCGACGGGAAATCGAACCCCGGTCCCACGAATTTCCGGTACGCTGCTCTACCACTGAGCTACCGAGGGTTGGCGATTAGGTGCGCAATTTAATACATGACTTCTGCTTGGTGCGCGACGTATTGCCAATGAGTGGAGTTTAATCGTGACTTCTACTTTCTACGAACAACGCGCTTGTGTTTGGTTGTGAAGGAGTGTGGGCCGGTTCCGTTGATGAAATGTGGCTCCCATCCACATGCGTCCCGGTCTTATTCCTTCGGGTTTACACTGGATATGGGGTGTGTGGTTGGAGCTGTGGGTGGTACAATGCAAGCCACTCATGGTCCCTCAGGAGGCGCAAGCGTCCAGTGGCTAGCCAGTGACGGGCAAATCCGAAACCGGATGCTGTCAAAGATATATATATATATATATATATATATATATATATATATATATATATATATATATATATATATATATATAACGGCCTGTACACTCGGAAAAGCTCTAAATGTCCGCTTCAACTTGTTAGGTCTCGTCAGTAGTGCGCATCCATCAGATCCATCAGGATTCCAACCCATGACTACTAGGGGTTTGCAGCGCTAGCCAGCAGCTTATGTAACTGTGTCATGGGGGGGGGGGGGGGGAAGAGCGGTGAACTGTCATGATGTACAACATAACTGAGATATAGCGCTTCTCATCTTTCATTGCCACGTTGCAGAGAACAGGGCTGGTCCAGAGAGACACGACTTCTACTAACAGTAGCTATGTGCGACAGCATTTCGAAACGCTGTCTTAAGCAGCGACGTGCACCACCAGTCAGTATCTTATGTCATTGAGCCATGGGGGATCGCGATGGATGCGTACTACTGAGGAGATCCGAAAGTTCGAAACAGCCGTCTAGTACACTTCCGGGAAGGTGGAGAACTATCTGGTTTGGAAGCCACTGGAAAGAAACCCCTTGGAAATTTACTGTAAAAATTCTCTCCTTGAACAAATTGGAGGAGTTCTATTTTTGCGCTAGTACGAACTGAAAGGAGTGACTGAAACAGTTACAAGTGAGTCACCGACACCTTTTACTAAGAAGAAATGGCACAGATTCCGCTTCAGAAACACAAATTCGTGGAGGATCTCCGTTACCTAACTTGGGATTATCATAAGCTACGGGTGAACTGCTGACGTTTATGTTCCTAAGCAATCTCTTCGCCAAGGTTTACCCAGGCTAGTTTTCTTAAAAAACCTAACATTTGTCTTAAGCTACCGTTATGTGTATGAAATGTATAAGTATTAATACTTGAACTCATAGCTAACCCGAAGCTGCAATTGGTCTATGAGTGTTAAGCGAGTGGATAGACTTGAACTCAACTCGTCTATATGAGATTATAAAATGTTACCCTTAAACAGTCCGACTGTTCCATAAAAACGCTGAGCGGCTTGTGCGAAACAGCTGTAAAAGTGGTCATTAGATCTATGAACATCGGCATAGTGAAGGCGTTTCGGAAGCGGAAGTGAAAAATGGTGCAGCGATAGGGTGATACTACGCATTAAGTAACGGATTTCCACGAAAAAGTCTACAAGTATAGGCTAATGCAGGTTATTTCACATAAGCGAAGTCAAATGGTTAATTGAAGATGTTTGTACCGGCATAAAGCTTACATGAAAGAAAATTTACGATGCGTTTACATGTTCCAGAATAAAAGAGCTGTGACAATGGAAAAAGTGATCCGTTAGATAAGGGAATAGAGTTCAATCAAACCAAGGACAATTCACGAGCGTCGCTGAGCCAATTGTGGAAGATGTGTGTCACATGCAAGTTTGAAGAGATTTGAAAGAGGACAAACCAGGTAGCAAAGTTAAGCCCTCATATTACTTCAAAAAGCCGCCGCGCAGAGAATTGACGTAAGCGTCACGGTATGTAAGCAAAAAACGATGCTAAGATAGTAGAGATTATGTCTTTAAAAGACAAGGTTTCGGGCAGAAGTAAGAATTTAAGTAGAAATTCGTCACATCTATAGTCCCCTAAGATTTTCCCGGAGTAACCATTATTTCAGCGATCAAATCGATAGCGCGTCGATTATGCAGCGAGGCCCAATGTGACGGCCCAACATCCTGAGGAGTGGCTGGATCGGTATGGAAATGTTATGTTTAACAATAGACCCTTCTGTTCTGGAACCCATAGGCTGGGGTCTAACTCAATTGCAGTACCTTGAGTAACGGTCCGGTGAAAATGTTGTTTTGCATAGATCAGGTGATTTCTAATTTTGCCCATCAGTTGGGCTAGAAGTCTTGCGGAAGATTTGAGTGTTTCATTCGGACTATAATACAGTGGAAAATCTAAACTACGCCACAACATAGGGGACAAGATCAGAGAAAAAAGAAAGTTGAATCATATATGCGCACACTAACCTTGGTGGGAGGGGTCAGAATTTGGTGCTCTAAATAACGAAGACCGAAGTACTCCCGTTCTTCCATAACGCCCTGGCGACAGCATACCTCCTCGAATAGCCATTTACCGGTGGCATCCTCCTAAAATCCCAAAAAAGATTGGAAGAGTTCAAACCAGCAATCGAGTGGGTCGAATGCAGCAGTGCACACTCTACTGCGCAAAGCAGACAAGGTGCCCAAATGTATTTTGTGCTCGATAACCCAGCACACAACCTAGTTACCGGTACATACAAAATAAAGTCCATGCCAGATAGACATATTTGAAAGCTGAATGCTTCACGCAGCATCGCGTAACAGAAGATAAGCAGAATTCCGCCCACAAACGCTAGGGATATACGTATCTCTTGGCTGTTATCGGTGACTCATCATCGTCATCATTACACGTTAGCTGGAGGTGGAAAACACCTCAGCTATTGTGCCGCAATACAAAAGATAAGAAAGGGAAAACAAACGGTGGCACGCCCGCTGAGTCCCCAGTAACGGATGGACATCGTTCCGGAGAGCTAACAGCTGCCTGTCGTAAAAGAAAGTCATATTATGCCTAACGATTGAGATCGTGATTGGAGGGGGATGCTAAACAGGAGGGGGATGGACAAAGGAACTCACAACACAAACGCCATTGGGGCCGGCTCCTAGCCATATCAGCAAGTGTGTCCAACCAAACGTGTTCACCGTCCTTAGGACCCCAGCCAGGCAATCGGGATGCACCAACCAACGCCAACTTCGAAGTGAGGGTTTTCATTTCTCTCGACCAAGTCATCACTTGGCCTCCCCTCCTCCTCTTCCAACCGCACCCACAACGCGCAAACAATGCACGTCGCGGGAGTCGGTGTGCTGGCATGCGCAACACGTGGCCCAGCCATCGGAGCCTGGTGCGTGATACAATGGTGCTGAGCGGTTCACTCGCTCTTCCTGCACCAAATACGCGACGTCGAACACGCTCATTGCTCACGCGGTGTTCCCACCAGACATGAGCTAAGCTGCGCAGGCAGCGATGATCGAATGTGACGAGCCTCTTCATGTCTGTCGACCTTATGGGCCAGGTTTCACAGCCATATAAGAGAGATGAACGGACGGCTGCGTTGTAAACTCTGCCCTTGAGGGCGAGAGTAATGTCGCGTCTGCGCCACAGGTGACGGAGATTGGTAAAAACACCTCGAGCTTTTGCTATACGGTTCGTAACCTCATCTTCAATCCCACGGGTGCTAATATAGCTGCCCAGGTACTTGAATTCCTGAACGACTTCTAGCAGATCACCACCAAGCGTTAGCGCAGGGTTGGGTCCCTGCCAATCTTGGAGAAGTACTTTGCATTTCGATGGAGTAAAGCATAGTCCAAAATTATTGACAACCAGTGCTAATCGGTACAGTGCTGTTTGGCATGTTTGGGAGCTGTCACAGATTAGGGAAATATCGTCTGCATACTCCAAGTCAAAAAGTCGCTCACCAGGAAGTAGCTCCACACCTTCTAGGTCGTGTCCAGCGAACGCTGTTTCCATGACTTCATCAATAGCGAAGTTGAAGAGGAAAGGCGACAGCGGGCAACCTTGTCTCACACCGCTAGTGATACTGAAGGGTGGCGACAGTTTGCCATAAACCCTCACCCTGCACGAACTATGCGCGTACAGCGCTTTGATAATATTTACATATTTATCAGGCACACCTTTCCTCAATAGACAGTCCCAAAGGGCACATCGATCGACTGAGTCGAAGGCACCTTTTATGTCAAGAAACACGACAACGGTGGGTCGCCAATAAACATGGCGGTGCTCCGACACTTGACGCAAGGTGAAGATGTGGTCGATGCAGCCGCGACCTTGACGAAATGCGGCTTGCTCTTCACGAATCTGGCTTTCACGAGTGCCAGTCAGTCTGTGAAGAATGACAGAAGCAAGCAATTTAGAGGCAATCGAAATCAGACTGATCCCTCTATGATTGCCGCATTCCAAACGAGAGCCTTCCTTAAAATTGGGACAATGACGGAGCGGTTCCAGTCTGTCGGGACTGTCTCCTGCTCCCAAAGTTTTACCAGCAACTCGTGTATATCATCTATTAGAGCAGGTCCCCCGAATTTGAAGAGGGCTGGGGGAATTCTATCTGCTCCTGCGGCCTTATGCAATTTCAACAGCCTGATCTCACGTTCGACTTTTGCACGTGATGGCGGATCCAAGGAGACGGCCCAGGCAGAAGGGCGCTCAATGCCCGAAGAAGAAAGCGATAACTCAGGTTGATTAAATTGCCTTGCAAAGTGTTCAGCCCAATGCTCCAAGCGTTTTGACAGGCTGTGGATCAGCTGCCCACTCTCGTCGCGTATGGTCTCGCTAACACCAGGTCTTCTGCTGCCTGTTTCCTGTATCAGATGGAATAACTTACGATAATTACCAACGGCAGCGGCTGTTTCCATTTCCGATGCACGATGAGACCACCAGGTTTCGCGATCCTTCCTAAGGCTAGCACGTAGTTTTGCCCTGAGATTTTTGCGAGCCTCATTGTATTCGTTTCCAGCCGGAATACGTCGGCGAGCATCCATAAGTTCCATAGACTGTGTAGAGACCCAATGTCCGGTTTGGCAATTTGCTTTGCCACATGAAGACATGCCTGCTAACAGTAACGTTTGACGAATATGCGACCAGTGATCTTCAACGGTGTTTAGTGGGAGCCTGCTCAGTCCAGATGTCAGCGCACTTTGGTACACATTCAGAACATCTGGATTCGCCAGCTGGCTGGTGTCAATCCGTTCACATCGACGTTGCGGACGTCCACCGAAACGCACTCGGAGTTCGACGCAGACAAGTGCGTGGTCAGAGTCCACGCTCGTGCTCCAAATCGAGCGGCAGTTTTGGACACAGCCTCTCCAGCGGTAACTGATCGCGATATGATCGATTTGCGTCCATGGTTGGCCCGAGGCTGATGGCCGCCAAGTCACACTTCTGCGGGTGCAGTGTCGAGTTAGTGCTCGCGAGAAAGAGGCGAGCATTTTCACACAGCTGTAGAAATCGCTCACCATTATCATTACGGGAGCCCACACCATGTTGGCCGCCCAGACGAAGCTCATCAGAGGACAATTTCCCGACTTGGGCGTTTAGATCACCAGCCAACACCACAGTATCCGTGTTGCTTCCGTAACGAAGGAGATCGTGCAGTTGCTGATAGAAATCATCTTTTACCGAGTCAGTGCTACAGTTTGTAGGGGCGTAAGCCGCAATGACAAACAGGCACCGTTTGTCCCCGCGAAACTTCGTAGCACGGAACGAATCAGCTAATCTAACGGCGCACATCCTACTGTTTACTTGGATCCAGTCAATCAGGGCAGCTTCAGCCCGGGGACTTAAAACAATGCCGACGCCAGCTTGACCGGCATTTGAAGCAGCATCATCACCAGACAGGCGCAATGAGAATGTGCCGCCAGTGTCGCCTGTAGGGGATCTCAGGGTAAGCACGGAGCTCGAATCTTGCAGGCGGGTTTCTGATAAACAGCAAATATCGAACGACAGGGTCTCTAGTGTGCGGCAAGTGCTGCCTGTTGGCCAATCTGCAGCAAGGTGCGCGCGTTGAGGCATGCCAATCTTAGCGAGACATGAGGACTCCAAAGGGAAACGGATGAACTGACGTTGTCCGCTTGGTTAAACATGGACTTGTCGACTGGATTGGAGCAAGGCCTTGCGATTGTGTGTGATTTGAAATTAGAAGACAAGCGACGACTAAAGTAAGCTGGGGGAGGGCCAAGAATTGGGGGATTGAAAATGGGGAGGATATAAGTAAAGTTGGAGCGGGACGATAAGGATGAAAAAGCGCAAGAAGGGGTATAAGAAGACGGGAAGGCCTGAGCAGTAGCATCCTTACCCGTATCCACTTTGATCGATGCAGCAGATAGGGCGCCGTTTATTGTCCTCTGCGACGGCCAGAGCATCAAGAAAGTATTGTAGGAAAGGTTCGTTGTATTGCGTGGGCAGAATACTGTCAGGTTGCCCAGGCCTAGACAGGAGAACGATTAGGGTCCTCAACCAAAGCCTTTGGTTCAAAAAGCTTACCGCAAGGCAGCGAGTTGCGGCACTGGATTACAGAGCCCATTTTATGAAATGAGGACCCACCCCCATTCCAACCCCCAACCTGGAGGACCAGGAGGCTGAGTTTGTCTGGCCTCTAACCATTGACCAATCTGGCATGAGTGGCTCTGAAGGTGCAAAAAATGCACCACCCAGCATAGCTCAATGGATCTCCGAGGCACGCAAACCATCGCACCACGGTAAGGTCCAGCCTCATTGCGGTGACTTGTGAGTTACAAATCGAACATCATAAGAAATCCGCTCTGCCAACATACTTCGTGGCATGTCAGTGATACACAGTGACACCAGTGACGCTGTGCTACACCGAAACTGCATCGTCGGGTCATATTGCTGTTGACACAACCGTACGTCCGAATGAACACAGTATGGGAAGCTAAATATTTCCAGAACGTCTCCAAACACCTTCCAATCCCGAAGAGTCAGTTGGCTGACTGTGTTCAACAGAAATTCATGATAGCTTTAATCACCAGAAAACACATCTAATGTAAGTGTTGATTGGCGGTTGACTTGATTGAGTTCTCAGTCAAGAAAAACAATCAGGATACACTGCATATTAAGCTTTCACCAAATTACTCGAAAGACATTAAGCTTCAGTGGAATAGGATCTTGGCCGCCTGTTCAAAGAACAGCTCGGACTGCAACCAATGCTTCAGGAGAACCGCTGGACTTGGCCGGTGAAATTTATTACCCTGTAATGTTCAAAGATTGTCAGTACAAAAAGGTATGCTACGTAAAAAGACATCCTGATCTGAACTTACTCGGTCGCGACTAGATTGACAATATGAAACTGCTTGAGGTTTCAAAGTTGGACTTGGACTTGAGGTTCCCTTGAATTCCGTGTGCAACAAAGTAAGCGACGCATCTGCAGAGTGGATGGGGGTCTTTACAGAGAAAATATCCGCAGGTGTTTCAAGATGATTTAGGATTGTGCACGAAAATCAAGGCCAGTCTTCCGACCGAAGAAATCGGTTCCATATGCAGTAGTTGTAATTGTCGACCAAGAACTTGACAGACT